CAGGTCTCTATACTGAGCTTCAGACATGCGTAACTAACAACCTATGAGATAGTTCCACCCAGAGGTGTGCTAGCTCACTACTATGGCCAGTTTTCAGCTAACAATGTGAAATCACTAAATACAGAGTTGAAAAGAAATGTTCACAGGTGGCTCTCTCAAGCAGGTATAAGGCAACTCCACACACCACCTGGTCCACCTGGCATTCAAGGGCAAAGACTCCCAAACATTTTTTTAACATATGGTGGAAAATACATTTTACATCTGTTATGTACATACCTATATATGCAGAAATAAAAGTTCTAGGAAACAACACTTAACCTTACCACATGCGATACCCTTTAAAATTTATCATGTTCCATTTCATCAAAAAATACTAGTCTCGACTCTCAAGTAGATTTCATGAGCCATCAGTGGTTCAAGGCCCACAGTTTTTAAAACATTATCCTCAGATCTTTCAAACTCAGCATCCACTGAACTGCATTTATTGACTCACTTCTCCAATCTGTTGTTTTCCCCTGTTTTCCTTCAATTAATGGGCCATCATCTACTTGGTTTCCTCAGGTAGACACCTTAGGGCCATTTTGGACACATCCTCCCCTTTTTTTTGTCCTTCACATCCATTTCTGCCTTGTCAAAATCTCTCAAGTAGATCTTCCAATCTCAATTCCCACTGTCACTATTCTGTTTTACATCATCATCTTTCTCCTAATAGCCTCCTAATTCACCCCCTGCTTTCGATTTCTCCAATCTCAATTCATCTTTTTTCAGCACAAAATTGTCTTCCAAAAATAAGTAACACGACTTATTTTTAAATGTTGCTTAAAATTTTTGATGGCTTCTCATAGATCCCAAGATATTTTTTCATTCATTCAGAAAACATTTATTGGGCAAGTGTTGTGTGCTAGGCTCTTTACTGGGTACAGGCTAACAAAAATGGCACAGTTCCTGTCCTCAAGAAGTTCACAGTTCAAACCCTATTGCATTACTCAGAGGACTCTTTTAGAAGTCCCAGCACACCTTTTTATCCTTACCTTCTGCTCCATCCTTTCTATATAACCTATGCCCTTCCCACAGTGGAGAAATTGACAGTCCGCAGGTATGTTGTTCACTTTTAGGTCCCTGGGCATTTGCTCATGAGTGCCACATTCGATAAAATGCTCTACCTCTCTATCTTCAGATAAACTCCTACTCATTCTTGAAAGCCACTGTCTTGGCGAAGCCTTCCTTTTCACAAATTCTTATTCTTAAAATGTTTTAAGTATTTAATCAATGTAATCACGCACATACTCAAAATAGTTAAAATAGGAGTGACCAGTTAGCTCAGTTGGTTAGGGCGTGGTGCTGATAACACCAAGGTTGCTAGTTCAATCCCCGCATGGGCCACTGTGAGATGCACCCTCCCTAAAAGAGTCAACGATGCCATTGTAGCATGAAAGCAATGTATAACCAATGGCCATGGCTGTCCCCCAATAAAATTTTAAAAAAAAAGTTAAATAGTACTAAAGTACTAAAAAAAGAAAGCCAGAGTCTCCCACCTCAGCCCACCCAACCTCAGTTCAATTCCCCAAAGAGAATTACTCTTAGTAATTTCTGATTTTAGATTTCTGGTGGTAATCTCCAAGTTTCCAAAATAATATACTACATTATCATTTCATGGTATATCATCTTAGGCACCATCTATCTCATTTCTGCTAGGAGAGATGAGCATTTAGCTTATGCACGTACTGGGCCTATCTTTTCTCCTCCCTGACCCTCCTACTAGAGTTACATCTCTATATTCAGGCCCCCTGCTGCTCTCTCCTCTGCAAAGTTACATGAATTTTTTTTCCTTTATTTCCTCTACTACCAACTATAGACAGTATCTGTTGAGTCTTGATTTTCTTAAAAAAGCAGTGATTTATATAAACCTAAAAGATGCTCAGTAATCCAGCTTTCTCTCCACCCTCCTTCCCACCTCTACCTCCTTTTACCTATCTACCTTTACTTTTACATTTAATAAATTAATCATATTTATATTGTCTTGTATTGTCACATCCAATTGTTCTTCGGCTTGTTTATAAGGTAATTCTAAAAGCTGAAAACCAATAAGCAATGCTTCCATTATTAAACTATGTGACTCTTGTTCTCTACAGTCTAATGTTCTGATCACACTTCCTTCTCTGGGCCATTTGCAGAAGTATATTCTTGGATTTCAGGTTTAAATCTCATCTCTATCTTTAGATACCACCCAGGAAGTAGCTCAAAAATTAATCCATTTTAGGTTTCATCACACTTACATCATGCCTTTCCTGGTATATTTCCCCCCTTGGAGTTCCCAGTTTTAACTTTAATATTTTTTTTAATTTTAAATTTAAGTAATTTAATCTTTTAAGTTTTTTCTTGCATTCTGTCATCTTCTAACAGTCTCAAGAATTTCCAAGTTCCCAATCATACATTCAGTTTTATTGAATCCCATATTTTTTTCCTCCAGTTTAATTATTCCAGTTAGGATGTATTAGTTTTCAGGCCTAGGCACAGCTGTCACCCTGAAACTTCCCTCCATTGCTCATCTGGATTGGAGTCCGTCCCTTTTCCTTGAATTGTATGCAATCGACATTGGCTTTGACACCCACTGCTTTGGAGGACAATTAGTAACTCACTTCTCTGAACTCCCACAGTCCTTTGCATTTACCTACATGAAGTAGCACTCTATGTTGCTATTTTCTTATCCTTCAGGGCATGGACTGTGTCTTATTCATCTTTGAAATGGTACCTGACATACAGTTGGCCCTTAATAAACACTATTTGAAAGCCTATTGAGCACATTATTATTATTTAATCCAATATCTTGATTGAAGGGAAGAGCCACTATTTTTGCTCATATTAAAGACTAAATAAGTTCTGTGTTGATGGAAAATGGGAGTAAGAATTAAGAGATACAAAAAAGCTCAACAAAGAATCAATTTATGTATATAACACTAAAACAAAACCCATATTAAACCCACCTTATAATCTGTTATGTCTGTGTCGACTTGTCCTTTTGGAATGTGAGGTCCATTCTTTATCAATTTCACTGGACTAGAGCTGCCAGATAAAACACAGGATGCCCGGTATTGCTAAATCAGGCAAACCTGCACTGTCTTGTCAAGGCACAAATCTGCTAAATGCCAATCACTCTGACAGCCTCAGAGAACATGATCTGATGAGGATGAGAGAAGACATAAAGACAGCATTCAGGGCTGGCCAAGTGGCACATTGGTTAAGAGCTGGCTTGGGATGCCAGAGGTCTCCGGTTCAGGTCCCACATATGAGGGCCAGTGACACTGACCTCTACAGCTAAGATGCTGAACAACAGCTCAACTTGGAGCTGGGCTGCCCTGAGTTGCTGGAGATAGCGTAGGCTGCAGTCCCTGCTGTAGTGGGTTGCCATGGGCTACCATGTGTAGCCAGCAGCCAGCGTGAGTGGCCAGCAGCAGTGAGTAGCTGTCCAGAAGCCGGCGACTGATCTGCCTCACCGGGGAAGAGCGCAATGATGGTGCCAACATGGATCATTGAAGCGATGTCTTCCACAACTAGATTGAAGAACAAAAGGACAGCAACTTGTCTGTTCCCCTTCCCCAATTCCCCAGTGCTATTCCCATCCCCCAGTTCCCCCATTAAAAATCTTAAAAAAAAAAGACAGCATTCAAATAAATAAATAATTTCTTACTTGCCTTCAAGACCTGCTTTCAAAGCCCACCACCTTTTTAGGTGTGATACAGAGTCTCCTGCTTCTTAATCTGGTTTTAAGATCAAAGGAAAGACAGCCTAGATATCTCCTGGGTAGGGCATAATACAGCCTTTAGATTAATATGCTGGGGCAATTTGTTTCATAGGAGTTTATTACAGGTAGTATAGGAAAATGTCATTGGGCTAATACAGTTTTATATAAATTTTCATCTATTAGGTTTATATACATTACTGCTTCTTTAAAGAGCTTAATATTATATAACGGTGCTGAATGTGTCCCATGTGCCAGGCTCTGTCCTAAGCATTTCACATGCATTTACATTTCATTCTCCAAAAGTGCATCCGACTAATGCACTTAAAGTACCTCCATGTTAGTGATGTGGAAACGGAGAAGCAGAAAGGGTAAAGAACTTGCCCAAGGTCACACTGCTAACAAGTGGGAGAACCCAGCTATACTCTATGCCTTCTTACCGCAGAGTCCTCAGAATAAAAATAAAATAAATTTCATCTATAGTTCCACCACCTCACCAAAAGCCAAAAATCATTATTTAAAAAATGCAGAATTTAATAACACTGCACATAAATGTCAAACTATTTTCCCTGAGCCTCTAAACTTAAGCTTTAAATGAATATTTTTTTTAAGAAACGAACTGAGAAGAAAGCACTGAAAACATAAAGGGGCGGGGGAAGAATTTCAGTTAAACCCCAAATAACTGGGATAGACAAACGGAGCTGTGAGAGATGGACCCTTCTTACACCATTTCCCCTCAAGTCATAAACGCTCTTTCTGACTGTCTTGCATTGTAATCCCACGGAGAAATGAAACTACACCGTGGCTGGCCTTCCAACCCAGGGCACAGCCTGCATGGTTTTTGAACTGGTGTCCAACCTACAAGGTATCGAGCTGCTGAATGCGCAGGGCATATCAGATTACAGATGTGAACAAGGGGATTCTGGTGAAACAAGCAAGGATGGCTGGATTTGAGGCGAATTAAATAGGGAACAGATTTGATCAGAATCAGAATCGAGTCTGAGAACGGGAGCTGGGGGGCACAACGCCCGCCCCAGGCTATGTCTGGATCCATTTCGGGGGGGAGGGGGGATAAATTAACCCGCGGATCCAGGTTGCGGGACCCCGAGCCCTGGAAAGGGTGTTGGGTGCGCCTGACCACCCTGGCGTCCCAAGCTGCCTTTGTTTGTGGGAAGCTGCCTTTGTTTGTGGGTGGCCACACGCTCCTCCCCGGCCCCTCCTCCTGCAGTGCAGGGGGAGGAGAGGGTCGGGTGATAAGACGGTGCGTGGCGCACCGAAGCCAAAGCCCGCCCCAGCCCACTTGCCAGTCGCTCGCCGGAGCTGTCCAGCCGCCTAGCGGCCACGGTGACCGCCGGTGACAGAGGCCCGCAGTGCTGGCAGCGAGAAAGTCGGATTTGGCGTGCAAAGGTCGCGTCTGTGCAACGCGCCACGCGCCCAGAGTCCCCGATTCTTGCGAGCAGCTCACAGCAGCGCCTGGGTGAGGAGGGACCCCGGGGGAGAGGTGCGGGGCGAGCCGGACTCAGGCAGGACTGACGCCGGCTGGAGGCGGGGGACCAGGGAGCGGTGACGAGCTGGGGGGAAGGGGTTGGCGTAGCTGGAATCGTACCCGCCTCTGGACCAGCGCTGGGCTCCCGGTCCCTGACGCCCTCGGGCACAGCGCTGAGATGTTTGCGGGGATCGTGACGAATTCGAACCCAGTTCTCCTAAACTTTTTCCCGAGAAAGTAACCCGAAGAATTCGGTGCCGAGAGGGAGAATCAGGCCAGGGGAACAGGGAACTCAGGGAGTTTCCTTATCTATTTTGTCCCTCTGGGACAAAACAAAACAAAACAAAATCCTCCCTTTTCGGGGGTATTGCTAATTCCGTGGCTCAGTTCTGAGGAGCAGGTTTAGTACCAGAATTACAAAAAAAAGCAATGCGGATCCCTGCTCTGCTCACTAACTTCACACATCCCAGAGCCCTCCCCTGCCGGCCAGATAAAAATTAGGGCTGCTGTTCCCTGGGGAATGAGTTTGTTTTTAAAAAGTCAAACGAAACCAGAAAGCAGAGAACAAGCTCCTCCCCTGGAAGGGTCTCCCCTGGAGCTTCTAGTAGAAGTTGCGGTGTCCAAAACAACGAAAAGGTCAGGCTTTCATTCAGGCCTGTAGTTATTGGGGTTGCTGCAGAGGTGAAATGGAATGAGGAGGCAGAGGTGTATGGGGCTCATAAGGGGAGCTTGTCACCTTTGAAGGACCCATATTCAGGATCCGGAGGGACTTGTGTGAACAAATCAGCCTTGCACAAATTACCTTTGACCCAAATGAGAATGCTGAGTTGGGAGACTGGTATATGAGTAACAGCTGGAAAATGCATCGTTTCAAGTGTTGATAATCCCAAAAGGCTCAGGATCAAATCTTGGGTTACCATTAACTCAGGGATCAAGGTGTTAAGTATTGGCCTCATCTATGAAGATTGCCTTCTGGCCACCACTAGGCACTGGTGAGCTGCCAGCACTCCGGCAGATTTCTTCACAGAGGGAGTTCTGGTGGCTCTGCAGAAGCTGGTGAGAGCGCTCCCGGACTTGGCATTTTCCAGCCTGCCTGCTACCACTCATTGCTAACAGGCACTGAGCGTTCTCTCTCTGTTCCCCAGACATTTGTGCAGGAGTTCCTGCTGTGGACACCCTGCTGATGCTTTCCATGGAACTGGGCCCTTCATACAGAAAGCTGTCACCACAGTCTGTCACCAAGGCTGTCTGTCACTGGCTGTAGAGCCTCTGAGAGTGAAGGAGTAGCAGAATTGGGAGGGATGTTAATCTAGTTCAGCCACTCATGTCACAGTTGAGAAATCCCTTCTGAAGTGTGAAAGGGCTTGCCCAGCACCCCAAAGCCATTTCCCACAAACAGAACCCTAGGCAGCTGGTTGCTCATTTCCTCTCCACTGCACATCTGTGCCTTTTGCACTTTGGTAGTGAGGAATATACACCCTCAACCTGTTAGGTTTGGAGAGGAGTACAACCTACCACCTTCTTTGAGGCTTTCTCAGCATAGTCTTAAGGAAAGTGGATAACCTGGTGCCTGAGCAACTGGAGTGGGACCCCTCGAGTTTAGGCATCTGTATTCCTTTCCCTGACACCTCAGAAAATGGATACTTCCTTCCTAGAAAGGAAGGTATTCATCAGGTTACTTATACCTTGGCTCATCTTAAGCTTGATTTTCTTTTCTAACACCCATGATAATCAGCCCCACTGACCTCTTGAGACATTGAGAAATCTTCATAAAGTGAAGCATTGAAGAGGAAGTATTGAGTGAAGAGAAATCAAAGGGGAACATTGAGCTCAAAAATCATATTGTTACAGAATTCTGCGGAAGCTTTGTAGTTTGAAGGGATGGACAGTAGGTTCTCACTACCTTTCTCTATGAAGCCAGGCACCTGTTATGTGTTCTCACTGTCACTTTACTCCATGTTACAGGTATAGCACACTAATAGAGGCTAATATATATAGGCTTATCATTTCTTTTTTTAAAAAACATAGCAGTTGATTAGAAAGGAAAAGTGTATGATAAGAATAGATACTGACTGAATTAAGTGGGATAGTTGATTCCTAGTACAAGCTTTATTCATTCCTTCACTGACTTCAAGAAATATTTATTGAGTACCTACTATGTGCCGGGCACTGAGTATAGACCAGCGATTAAGATAGATGTTCTCAGTTCTCATGGAGTTCCCATTCTAGAATCAAGGGATGAGCAAGGTAAATTCAGATACTTGTACATGTTTTGAAGAAAAAGAAACAGAGTGCTGTGGTAGAGTATTGTGGTGTGTGTGTGTGTGTGTGTGTGTGTGTGTGTGTGTGTGTGTGTGTATGTGTGTGATGGACAGGTGGGAGTTTGAGTAAAACGGATTGGGTTTTGAGGCGATGGCCTTTGAAAAAATGGCCTTTTCTGAGAGATGGCCTTGAGATGAGCCCCCCAAGAGATGGGCAGACAGTTCCGGTGGAGGGAACAACAAGCACACCATCCTGGGAACAAGCTCGGTTTGTTCCAGGCACAGTTGGAAGGCAGTGTGACTCGAGTAAGGTGAGGGAAGAGAACTGAGGAGTGAGGTGGAGGGGCCGGGTCTTGCAGAGCCTCCTAGGTTGAGCTAAGCAGTCTGGGCTTTAAGGGCAGCGAGACATCAAAAGCAGAGGGTGTGACATGATAGATTGACATTTTTTCCAGAGGTCAGTCTGGGTGCTATGTGAAGAGGAGATTATACGGGGAAAAGAGGAGAGATAAAGAGACCTGCTCCTGGTTTATTGGGAGGGATCTAGTGATTTAATGATCTCACAGTAGGTGGGCAGAAGCTATTTTTGGAGGTAGAGTGGGAAGTTAATGTTTCTTTCTCAAATTTCCCATGGAGTTAATGGGGATGGTTGGCTTGCTATGTCTGGCCCACTTATCTTGTGAAAACAAATAAGCTAATGAATATGCTCTTAAGCATAATCTAAGATTTTATTGCTGTCATTATTTGCTAATATCGTGCTACTTTGAGTTCCCTGTGCATTTTCAAAATATTTATATCTTTTTATTTATCTTATTCTTTTCAATAAATATAATTTATTATACACTAAAAGTTTTGCTCTGTTCAAAGCATTGGAAAACCTTAACTAAGAGTTACCAATAAAAACACCATCATAGAATGCAGTGAAATTACTGCTAAACTGATAGCCAGCTTTCTTCTGAAAGTTGAATGTGATCAAGTAAAATTCAGAACAGAATATTTGAAGCTGGGAATTGCAAAACATACAAAAAAAGACTTAACTTTGCCTTTGTCCTGGATACAGCTGTGCACAGATACCCGTGAGTGCAAAGCTCTTTTGGTCACTGAAAATTTATACGTGGCAGCAGAATTTCTGGAAAGGGCTGTGAACCAGAGTTGAATTGGATTGTTTCCCTTAGTGAAGCATTCTCTGTCAGAGCAAACTCTTGAACTTCCCCTAGTTGCTCACTGATTCCAGACTTTAGAGGGCCAGAAAAGAGTTTCGATGTTGTTTATCAACTGGGGTAGGGATGACCTCAGCAACAGGCTAGTAACTGCCACAGTGAGGCAACCCTATTTATCTTTCCTGCCTCCTTTTGACAAGCGGTTTACTAGAAGTAGATGTTTCTGTTTAGAAACAAATGGAGGCCCTTCCTCATTTGCATGGTGTGCAGTGGCAGATTCAGCATTTGGTGACTGAATAGTCTTCACTTGCCAGACCCCATTAATTATTTATTGGTCAGTGTGTCCGAATTTCAGCTTGAAGTGACCAGTCTGATGTTTCAAACTGTAGACAAAAATGTGACATTCTTTCTGGGATCTGTACAGTTTCTTTTCTGCCATACTTCCCCTTAGGGTTGGTATGGACCCTTAGGGTTGAAGGTGGTTGGGGCATCTTTAAGGGGGAGGATAAGCTTCCCTCTGGAGGCCACTAATCTATTCTGTTTGAGTTATATGTTTTGAAATGTTGAATTATCTACTATCTTTTATAAATCAGATTTTTTACATAGAAAATATGGTTTTCCAGCTTTTCCTGAAAAATAAAGCAGAATATCTAGTAGCATGGAGCTCTCATTCCTACATGGCAGCAATCAACTGAAGTGGAGTAGTGTGACTCTCTTTCAGATGGTTCCGTTTGCCAAGTCCCCACCACTGCTTTTTCTATTACACAGGTCCTATTTAACTCATATAAGTTGCCTGGCTGGCCATTATAGACTTGTGACCTTAAACCTCAGGTTTAGTGTTTAGTGTTATCTACGCCTGTCCATTCTACTTTTTTTTTAAAGAAAGATTTTATTGGAGAACTGGGGAAGGGGAACATCTAAGTTGTTGTCCTTCAGTCTTAGTTGTGGAGGGCGCAGCTAGCTCAGCTCCAAGTCCAGTCGCCATCCGGCCGCCCAAAGGCAGCTTGCGGCCACTCAGTTCAAGGTGCTGTGTTCAATCTTAGTTGCGGGTGGGTGTAGCCCACCATCCCATGCGGGAGTTGAACCAGCAACCTTGTTGTTAGGAGCACGTGCTCTCACCAGCTGAGCCATCCTGCCACCTGTTGGCAGCTCAGTGGCAGCTCAGCTGGGGCGCGGCTCACTGGCCCATGTGGGAATCGAACTGGTGACCCTGTTGCTCAGAGCTCACGCTTTTAACCATCTGAGCCCCTCGGCCGGCCCCTGTCCATTCCACTTTTACCCTTATTCAATGGATCCCTTCTCCAGCATCTTTGCTGGTAGCCCCAAGACCTGTGTTTAAACTGCTCCTCTAATAAAGGAGATACGGTAATTGTTGTAAAGCTCCTGCTGACCAAATTATATAAACTGGGTCCAAGTAGAACATGTCCCTTTTCCATAACTGTAGTTGTCATGTGCTAGCTGGGTTTTCCCCAGTATAAACATCTATGGTTTCTTCAACAGCTCCTCTTGTGACTTGTTCCCTCACCAGTTTGGTTAGTGCTAGGTTTTTGTTCCTTTGACTAAACTTTTATTT